CGCTACGAGGAGATGCCGCTGTACAAGGAGCGCGGGTGCTACATCTGCCATCAGGGTGTCCGCATGCTGGAAGGTACCACACACCCCGCGCTGTCCCTCCCCAAGCACTCGCCCTGCTCCTCCTGCCAAGGGTTCTCCTCGCACAGAGTGTAAAACAAACACGGGCTGTGGAGAGCCCGCCCAGCCCCATGAACTGCCAGGCAGCGTCGGTCACATAGGGAATGGCTTGGGTTAGAAAGGGGCCTGGAGCATCACCAGTGTCATAGATAGGTCTGTGTGATAGATAAATCGCGCTGGGTTGTGTTTCCAGGAGTGCGGCAGGCGCAGTGGCTCACCAAGACGAAGCTCGTGGAAGGTTTGCCCCCAGCCGTGCAGGCCATCATGGATAACCCGGCTCTTGGGCTCCAGGAGCTGGAGGAGAGGGCGAAGCACATGGTGTCCCATGCTCGGCTCTGGGACACGGCAGAGGCTGCTCCCAGGAGGGAACGATATTGGTGAGTCCTCAGCTGTAGGGAGGTTTAAACTTTACAGAGACAATTCATACTGAGCTTTTCTGGAGGGTCTGTGTGCAAGACCATCAGATTGTCAAACAAAAAAAGCAACAACCAAAGCAACGAATAAAACCTGATTCTGAATATTGGCAGTAGCGCTGACATAAATACTACGCTAGATCAGAGCTTCTTTCAGGCCAATGTCTCTCTGTTTCAACTCAAGATCTACTAGCTGATGCAGAGTATCAGTTTTTTAAATAATTGTAAGCATTACCTCTGCCAACTTGAAACAGGCCTGGTGTGTGTGATACCAATCTGCAATCTCTGTTAACTGTTTGGGAGTGCTATGCCATTGTATGTTTTACATACAGTAATTTTACAGCATTTGTGCCCCAGAAGCGTCTGCCTGCTATTATGATCTCATTTTTATGTAACTGTTTCTTTTCTTGTTTTACAGCCCAGTGCTGTTTGAAAACCTGATACACATATGCCGGTTAATGTCTGGGAAGTATCCTGCTCTGAGTAAAAGGATGTTGGCTAGAAACTGCAGGATAGCAGCAACGTGGGAAAGAGGTCAGTTGCCACTATGGTGGAAGCATTTAGCTCTGTAAGATAAGAGGGATGGCAAAATTCTTGGCTTTCAGGCTGAGGATTTGGAAGAAATTAAACAATTTCTGGAACTGGGTAATTCTTTGTGGTTTAAATAGCGCTGTTGGCATTGTTGGCATGGGCAGCCTTGGATGATGGCAGGATGCTGTGCCTGAGGAGATTATTCGGTGTTAATCAGTATTGACAAGATGGTGGGAGAAGGGAACCAGTCTCTTAGACCTGACTGTTTATTTTCTTGTGCCCCAAATCAGTGCTGTTGTTTTCCTAAGGATGTTTAGTTAAGAACTTAGCCCTAGCAATTAACGTTGGCATTTTAGAAGAAGAACCCACAGCTGAGCTACTATTTAAGATGGGTTTGGAGGTGAGGGGGAGAGAGTGAGTCTTGCAGAACAGACTGGCCAGAGGAAATGTACATCTTTCCCTGGTGTTCTTTCACCAGTGTTTGACTGTGGCCTAATTCCCCTGCCCAGAATCCATCCTCCTTCAGGTCCGTGGCCTGAGTGGAATACTCATGAACTCTATGAGCCCATTAGCACCAGTAGCCTCCAAGGAGGAGATACTGGCCACCAAAGAGCACGTTCTGGAGACCTTCTATCCCATTGCGCCCACCATCGACCTTCAGGAGGTGAATGTGTACAAAGAGCTCAATGATACAGGTCAGTGCTGAAGAGAATTATCTGTGTTTGGGGCTCCTTGTCCTTCTGGGGGCAGCTGAGAGTAGGGAGTGTGTGGGAATGAGGGGACAGCTTTGCAGTGCAAGTGCCCCAGAGCTGTGGTGGGTGAGTGTATTGTTGCCTAAGCAGGACTGAGAACAAGAACTCAAACCCCAGCCAGCGACTTGAGCAGTTCCTGAAGATAATGGGAGAGAACCTTGGCTGCCTAGCGTCTTCCTGAGCGGTTTCTGACATGAGTATGTGCCCTTCAGGTTTCAGAGATGGTTATCCCTACTCTCACCCTCACACCCTGTTCTTCCTGGAGTCTGCCAACGTTCGCACCGACAGGTTCAGACCAGAGCAGCTCCGTGCTAAAATGCTGATGTTTGCTTTTGGCAACGCGCTGGCCAAGGCCAGGGCGCTCCACGGGGTACGTATGGGAGCCTGCTGCTCTGCTGGGCCTCTTCCCCTGCTGCTGCTGCCCCTGCAGGCAGCCCTCAAAGCCCCTTACTTGTGTAATTTTGTACACCCCCCTGTGTGATTTTACACATCCAAGCTTCCCAGTCCAGAGGTGAAAACCCATCCTTCAGAAATCCTCTGATGAGCAATGTTTGTGATGCAATAGGGTGGTATGGGCAGGAACCAGGGAATGGGTTCAGCTGTAAAACTCTAACCCATCCCACAGCTCAGTATGTAAATTGACAGTTTGTTGCTGGCTGAAGGAGGAATTTTAATTAAACTACAAAATCTACATTCAAAACTTGTTTGACTAGAGTAATTTTCTGGGCAAGGTAACAATATATTTATTAAAATCTTGGCTTTAAACCAGCCCAAAGATGCAGAATCAGCAAGTACTCCTACAATTTCTGTTGTAACTAGCATTTGAAACATTCTCCCCCACATGCCCCTTCTTTTCCTAGAATGATCCCAAGGTTTTGGAGCAGCCAGTAGTGGTGCAAAGCATTGGCACAGATGGACAGCTCTTCCAATTCATGGTGTTCCAGTTAAATACAACAGACCTTGTCTCTAATGATGGTGTAAAAAACCTAGTCTGGATTGACTCTGATCAGAACCTGTATGAGAGAGCCCAGTGTGTCCCAGAAGTCAAGAAGGGAGTTGTTACGGTAAGGAGAACTTGGGAAATGGTGGTGGAAATGCTGCCCTTCCACCCCAGCTGGGGGTCTGGGGCTGGCACAGGGCTGCAGCAGGTTTTAAACTAGCTGGAGGGACCCTCAGGGGACATTGGCCTCATTTTTACCTCAGCAGGTGTTTCTCAGGAGACCAGTTCCTGAGTGTTTGTGGTGCTGATGTGTGACATGCCAAGCTTAACGTGAACTCCTACACACAAATACTCCCAGCTGAAATCCACCATCCCGTAATGTGCTTGTTCAAAGCCAGCTCTGAGGAAGGGAGCTCTCACAAGCAGCCACCAGCCTCTCTGGGGAGCAAATAGAGCACAGGGCTGCCAGTACTGGTTATACTGGGAGGGCATCTCACTCGCAGGCAAAGGGGTTCTGCCCTCTGAGATTGACACCAGTAAAGTGCCCCCACCCAAACCCTTCTGGGGAGGGAGAGCACAATTTGGAAGCTGCCATGCCTGAAAGTCTTATTCAAGCATGTTTAAAGCCGTTGTTTGTCTACATTAATCACTTCACTGCAAACTGAGCATCCGTGTCTTTCTCTCTGCAGAAGCCCGCTGGAATTTCTGGCTTTCAGCCAGACACATTCAAGAAGTTTCTGGCACTGTATCTGCATGGAACTGTGTGAAATTCAGCTCAAATGAAAATACTTCACCAACTGTACCTGCTGCTTCTCTTTGCCAGAACCGTCGTATAATTAAAGAAAGGTGGATTAATTTACTTTAAAAAATAAATTATATTGTTACAGAAAGTAAAATTTCTTTTTTTAAACTAAATAGTGCATGAAGAAACTCTTTCATTTTAGGGGCTCAGCTCTCTGGATGTGGGTTAGAGAAGTCGTCAGATGCATCCTCCTGCACTCTTCCTCCATTGCCTGGGAAGAACACAAGCCAGTCATTATTCCTGTGCGCAGGCTCTGCTCTCAGTGTGCTTCTGCACAGAGCCAGACTCAAACCCATTCCCGAGGTTGCTTTGAGTCCCTCTGAATGCAGAAGAGACTTACAAAGCTTCAAGGGGAAAGCCTGAGCCACGAGGCTTTTTCATTCTGCCTGGCTTTGACTTTGTTTTACTCCTGGCTGCCGTGGGATGCGTCGTGCTGCCCTGTGCTTAGTTCCCAAAGCACTTAATCGGAGGGATTGCTTTGTTGGATCTGTAGAACCACAGTCCTTTTATCCCCCCAATCCTGGATGAAGAGACCTGTGCATTTGGGGAAAGTGGTGTAGAATGTAGCGGGAAACTTTGGTGCCTGTAGCTGGTATTTGCTGCTAAAAATACAAAGGAAGAATTTCTTCCTGCCACACAGAGTTAACTGAGCAGGAAGCATATTCTTTTTAACATGGGGGGATTAGTGTGGGTTTTGTAAAATGAAAGCTAAATTAGCTGCAGCCAAATGTAGAATGTTTTGCAGTTCTGGTACCCTCCAGCACATGGGAAGGGAGAGGACAGCCTGCGCTATTTTAAGGTGTGGAAGAGCATATTTCCAAGAAATTCATCTCACTTCAGTGCCTCGTGTCAGAGGCTGGTCTGTGCTTTGTGATCCCTGGCCATCTGGATGAGCACCCCAGTTGTGTGTTCCAGCCCCAGTCCATCAGGCAGCTCCACTCTGCAGGTTTTGGGAACATTCACCAGTCACCTTTGAGGTCAACAATTGCACCCCATAAATTCAGATGCAGTGGCTGCAGGCTAAATTAACAAATCCCTCCACAGTTAGCAGAAGTGCTTGAAAGAGAAAAATCCCTCATATAAGCATTGCATTGCTCTGCATTATCTTAATCCTGCCTGCTCCAGGGATGCCTCATTCAGCCCATCGGCGTGAATCTGTTCAGGTCTGTGGTTGGCAGCCAGGTGTTTGGGAATGCATCCTAACAGAGCTGTGCTCTGTGCAGCCTGTCACACACAGTGGGTGTTTCTTTCTCGGGCTGCTGCTCCCTGCTGTGTCACACGGACCCTGCCTGACATCCCCTCGCTCTTCCAGCTTCGGGTCATTACCCGTCCTAGGGAGGAAGCCCTGTAGGGCAGCCAGCTGCCCCTTAGCATTCCTGAGGAGAGAATTTCCCCCAGGAAGCCTGCTGGAAGAGCAGCTGTGGTGGAGAGGGGTTGTGTGGAGGTGAAACACCTCATGTGCTTCTGGTAGATGTGGGAATTTGTGGGGATGGTCTGTCTGGAAGAGGCAGAGTCCCTTCAGCTGCTTTTACCTCTCAACAAAGACATCTCTGTCAGGGCAGGCAGTTGAAGGGGAGAGACTGAGGGAAGCTGGAACCCTGCTGTGTCCAAGCTGAGCTGAGACAAAGCACAAGCACAGGGAGGGATGGACGAAGGCAGAGCAAAGGCAGTTTTGAAAAATAGCGGAAGCAGGGAGACATGGGATGGTCAGCAGGAAAACAAGGCTTCAGGGGGTGTGTGAGGCATCAGGAAACCACTGGAGGTGAGGGGATCATACACAAGGGTGTGAGGCCATGTCCCTGCTGTGCTGAAGCACAGCCACTCTCCCCTGAGGTGGGGGGAAGTGGTACTTGAGGGTTGCTGGAAGGAGCAGCCGATCCTTGTGCAGGGAATGCTCCTCTGGGAGCTGATCCTTGTGCAGGGAATGCTCCTCTGAGGGCTGATCCTTGTGCAGGGAATGCTGAGGGCCTGGAGGGGAGAGTGAAGCTCCCAGCTTGGCACGGATGCTCAGGTTGGCCTCTCGTGGTCCTTGCACCAGGCAGCCCCTACCACCTGTCCCTGGTGTCCTGCTGCACTTCCCAAGCACTCTGTGCCCGGCTCAGCTCTCCCAGTTCCTCCAGCGTGGCCTGCTGGAATGGGCCCAGCTGAGGGAGGTGGGCTGGGGAGCCCAACAATGGGTCACAGGAGCACATCTGGGTTGGCATCAATAACTTATAAAGGCTCTCAGCAGACGAGTGGCGTTACCTCAGCACGGACCAGGGCCAGGCATTAACTTTTCATGAATGGCAGCCAGGGAAGCAGAACATGCAAGAATGGGGTGGCAGGAGCCCAGGATGAGGAGGCAGAGGAGCCTGGCTGCCCGCAGGAGAGCTCTGCAGGACCCAGAGGAGCCTGGCTGCCCACAGGAGAGCTCTCCACCACTCCACACTCCCTTGCCCTGAACCGCTCCCACTGCAGAATCCAGCTCCACAGGCTGCACACACCGTGCCAACAAGTACACACCGTGCTCAGCCTGGAGCCCCTGGTTGTTCTGATCCTCCTCCTGCATTTAATTTAATGAAAACTAATGGGGGAGACAATTATCCCTGAGGCTGGGCTCAGGAGACGTTTCGAGGAGGGAACTTGGCAGTTTCATGGTGATATTTAATAATACCAGCCTGTAACCCTTAAGAACCATCAGGAAGGACTTTTCTATGCCCCACAATAAAAACACAACGGGCAGCAGTGCAGGAGCCTGCTGCTCCGGGCAGCCAAGCAGGGACTGGGTGGGCAGGGATGGCCCCAGGGGTCTGGGAGGGCAGGATTTCCCCATCAGCCTCAGCCCCTCAGGGGTTGTGAGACCAAGCGATGGACAATGCTCACACTCTGCTTTCTGCAAAGCACAGGGGGATGTGATTGCCTGGACCAAAGGCCTAAAACTTCCCAATCTTTCCCCCAGCCTCTGATGCTGCTCATTGGGGAACCAGGCTGGGTTTCTTCATCCCCAGTAGCTTCTGGAGCTGTTTGTCCTGGGAGGGTCTGTGCATCCACCCAGCACTGCAGCTCTTGCCCAAGGAGGGGCACTGACCCCACTGCAAGCTCAATATTTATATATTATTATTATTATTTATGTATTTGAGAACAGCACTCGTGTATTCCACTCACTTTCTTACCTCCCAGCAGTGCAGGGCTCTGGCAAAGGGAAGAGGCAGCACCCAGCTCCTGGCCCAAGGAACTGCTGCAGGGCAGGGCAGCCTCCATCACCACGCTGGCATCCCGACTTCCAACGAGCAAAGCCTGGGGAGCTTTGGAGTGTGCCAAAATCCCCTTTTTAGCCCCTAAAAAACCCCTTTCTTTCTGCAGCCTGACGGGCTGGGTGTGGGTGGGCAAGCATCCAGCCAGAACATCCTCAGCCTGGTGCAGACAACACTGACCATTTTCTAGGCTAAATTTTCAAAATGCTTAAAAAAAAAAAACAAACAATTCCAAGAAAACAAAAGAGGGATCACTAAACCTCACCCAGGTCCTGAACTGCATCCTGAATGGTCCTGAATCCCTTTGGGATTTTGAATTCCCAAGCTCAGCCAGCCCTCCTAAAATGCCACCTCAGCTCTGCATCACCTCTGCTCCTGCACCCCAAATCTGGGGTTTGGCCCTTGATAAAGGTTGGAAAAAAATACCCAGCTCCCACCCTGGGTCTGGCAGCAAACACCAGGAACAAACTGCAGGGCACCGAAATCAAATGTTTATGTTGATATTTATTACAGCAGGGGGAGGGGGGAGAAGGAGGGGGAACCGTTTCATTCAAAAAACCATCCCATACCAATGAAGACAATAATTTAGCTATTCATTTTAAAATACATTAAAACCGGTCCTTTCATTTCCTCACATCAGAACAGAAAAATTAAAATTAAAAAAAAAGAAAATAGGAAAAAACCCCCCACACCTGAACAAGATGTAAAGTGGAAAAGGTAAAAATTTGACCCCTTGGGGAGCCCCTGGGTATGCAATGCAACAAATCTGCATTAATTGGAAAATATTAACCTGACTGTAACTATGAGACTGACACCCTCAGACCCCCCATCCCACCCGCCCCTCCCTCCCTCCTGACTTTCTACAGGTAAAGCAGAATGAAAATGCCTAGGAAAAAGAAGGCAAACATTAAAAAAAATTATTATTCGTATTACACACTAAAAAAAAAAAAAAGTTGTTTTGTCATCTCATGTCTTGCAGTCAGAATAATAAAAACAAGCCAAATGTCCCCCAAAAACATTTCAATGATGGGGTGCGGAAAAAAGACATCCCTTTAATAAAACATTATCAACAAATATCGTACACAAACTACAATGTATAATAATTATTTTTTTTTCCCCTCTCGGTAATTTTCGAACCAGACTACAAGGTAAGAAAAAACACTGAAACAAGATACAATGCTTTCAATAATCCGCACAAAGGTCAAATCCAAGGGAGAGAATATTTTACAGAATATGATATACATGGAGCAGAAATGGGAGCTGGAGAAAAAACCAAGACCAAACTACAGGGTAGTGTCATGTACAGAGATCCCAACCCGCCGCCTTGGCTCGTCCCTTCCTCTCCCACCAGAAGGAAGGGCCTTCGATGCTTGCCATTAATTTTTATTTTCTTATTACAGAGCGAGCCTACAGAATAGCAAGGTTACATTTTAACAACAAGAATTCCTTAAAAAATATCTCCATCCAGTTCCAAATCATAGATAAGTGAAATCCTGACAAGAGCACATCTCTAAAGAAAAGAAATCCCCTCGCAAAATACCCCCAAAGCAAATAAAACCCCCAGAAAATCCCAAAGTTAGCTGGAGATCACAGTTTCAAAGTCCCAGGTCAGATTAACCCTTTTTTTTTTTTTTCCTTTTTTTTTTTTTTTTCTGGTGGATTTAAAAAGAAAAGTTATTTTTAAAAAAATCTATTTTTGCAGTGAACCAGCTGAAGGATTCTGGGGAAGGGAGGGACAAGAGATTTCTTCTTGTACTCAGAGGAGGGGGAAAGACTAACACAGTGCATGCCACAGTCACAGAGAGCAAGATCACGATTCATTGGAGGATGTGATCCTGGAAGGGGTCACCTGTTATATTAACAAGTTTATAACGAGGTGCTGGAGTCTCTTCCCCAAAGCAGATCTTGTTAACTGGAGGAGGAAGCGTTGTGCTGCAAACGAACCAAAAAAAAAAAAAACCCCAAAAAAATACACGGGAAAAAAAACCCCAAAACCAAAAGGAAAAAAAAAGAAAAAAAAAAGAAAAACAGGCCTTCTGAACGAAAACCACCATTGTAAACTGTCCAGTTTATTTAAAAAAATGACTACAACAGAGACAACATGATTTCATATCTAGACTAGCTTCCTGGTGTCGCACGGCACAAACATACAACAGGTTCGGTTTCTGTCTTTATTTAAAACAAAGCAAAGAGATCGGAGTTGGGTGCTAGAGGCTTCCGTTTGTTTCCAAAAAGAAGTGTCATGTACATATATAAACCCTTCTGCACAAAGAAGGGTCTTGTCATGTCTTGAAATATTTTAAGTTTTGTCCTTCATGTTTTATGGAATAAAAAGTTCAGCCTTTTTATTGCATGAAACTAAACCTGGGGTTTTGGCCCCCGCCACGCGTGTCCCTGCCCATACACCTAGCTTCTTCTTCTTCTTCTTCTTGCATAATTCGTTGAGATCCTCCGAACGGCAGCTGACTCTCTTGATCCTGGAGAGGAGGAGGGGGAGGGAAATCACACACTCATCGTCATGCTGGGGGAATACTGCAAGAGAGACAGAGCCACGGTGAGAAACCAGGCGGGTCACAGCCCCGGACAGCCAAGGGAGGGATGCAAAAGGAGGCTGGTGACAACTACACAACAACCTAATTGGAGCTAATAAACCAGGAAGAGAGGATATGCTGGAGACTCCAATTTATCAGGGCCCTAATCTGAGCTGTAACTTGCTTTTCCGGGAAGAAAATCAGCAGAACAGTATGGGGCGAGATGCAATTTGAAACAAATAATTAACATGCACATGTGTATATGCTGCTAATAGAGGGAGAACAGGAGGCATGTCTGCAGCCACCCACGGAGCCTCCAATGGGCCAGGCCAGCAGAGCCACCTCTGTGCCAGCTCCTCTCCACCTGTGCAGCCCATCCCACCACAGACCCCAAAATTCCTCCCACTGCCTCATCTCTCCCCTTCTGTCCGGCAGCAGCTCCCACACGGCACAACCCAAGCCCAAAAGGCCCCCACTGTGCCAAGCCCACCCATCCCAGTGCTGGGACACGTGGGGACTGTCCCCCATCCCCAGGCAGGCACTCACTCACTCACTCACTCACTCACATTGTCATTTTGGAAGGAATGGAGAAAGTTGCCTCCCAGCTCCCCGTCGTCTCTTGGAGTGCCCGGGGGATTGCTAATGCCACTTATGTTGTTTGGAGAATTCTGTGGGAAATGGAGAGGAGGTGGTGAGCAGGTCCCCACAACCCCCTGAAACGCCACAGGGGCAGGACAATGCTGTGGTCACATTCCCTGTGCCCCATCCATCAGGGTCACAGCAGCACCCCAGTGCTGAGGGAAGGGCAGAGCCCACACACCCGGCCTGCAACCAACCCCACTTACTTTTGGAAGTCCATCTATGTCTCCTGACCCTGCAGAGAGGGGAGAGAAAGGAGAAAAGCCTTACTGGGCCTGCAGCCACAGCCCTGTGCCCCCCACAGCTCTGCTGCCTTCCACCCAAAGGCTCTGCTCTGAGCATGGGTGCCAGCTGGGCGCTGAGCCCAGGATGGGAACAGGCACACAGGACACTGCCAGGGTCCCCAGGGGATGGATGGAGGACACCAAGGCTCACCTAATGATCCGTTCATGTGATGGGGCTCCATCCCGCCCATGCCGCCCATGGGGCCGTCAGAGCCGGGGCCCATTGGGAACTGTGCAAGGAAAAGGGGACAAACCCAAAATCAGCCACAAAACAACCCCAAGCAGCTGCCACGGTGGCTCCTGGGGACTGTCCCTGCCCCAGCCATCCCTCTGGAGCAGGGCAAGGAGGGAGGTACTGCAGAATCACTGAATTGCTGAGGCTGCAAAAGTCCTTTGAGATCACCAAGTCCAACAGTCAACTCAGCACCCACTAAACCACACCCTGAACTGCCAGAGCCACACATTTCCAGGGACGGTGACTCCACCACTGCCCTGGGCAGCACTTTCCAATGCTTGGCAACCCCTTCAATGACAAAAAGTTTCTAATATCCAATCTAAACATTCCCTGGCACAACATGGGGCTTTATCACCCTCCCAGGCTGTGGGGCTCACTGTCCCTCTGGGTTCACCTATAAAATTTGGACCCAGAGCTGCAGCACAGCATTCCAACCAGAATTCCACAGGATTTAAGGTTGTCCATATCCCACAAAACCCAGCACCTTGGCCAGAGCAGCAGGACTGCTGCTCTCTTAATAAGCATAAAAAATTAACAAAGTCGCCCAAGAGTTAATCGCTTTTTGATGGTTTGTTTTATTTCTGTTTTGTAACAAATGGCTGAAATCAATTAAACTGCTTTACTCTCAACTGATGAAGTTAATTATGATTTGTTATGGTATCTGATATGTAAATTATTAGAAAGCAGACTTACATTCGATCGACTGCCTGCGGGCGGTACTGGATTAATCATTGTGTAGATGTTGTCACTTGAATTTGTTGAATCTGTGGAACAGTGAAGCCCAGTAAGTCGGGTGATTAATTCATTTCTTAATTAAAACAAACTCATGCCACTTGAACTCATTCTTTTGTATTTTATCACCCAAAATTCCCTCTAACTACCACCATTTTCTGGTTAATTTGTATTTAATGAAGATCCACAAAGTTTTTAATCACAGAAATTCAACTGTGAAAAAGAATTCAACTCCTGGCTGGGAAGGGGAGGGTGGTAATTCCTCACCTTCCTGAGCCCCCCAGCATCCAAATCCACAGGGGGATGTAGGAACATCTCCAAATGCAATCCCAAAGTCAAGAAGCCCAGGCTACTCACTTCCCAGAAAGCCAAAAGCCACAAAAATTGCTCATTACCAACAGGGCAGGGATGGCCCTGGACAGAGAGGGGTCTCAGAGGGCTCGTACCTGCAGGGCTGGGCATGATGGGTGTCCCTGGAGGGCCACCGCCGCCGGGGGGACCCTGTGGAAACAAAGCTGGTGTCATGTGTGCAAACATGAGCACTGCCCACCTTTCCATGTCTTCAAACACCTTCCCCAACCCCAAACCCAGCCCAGCCACCTCCCATGGCACCGACTCCCCCCAGACCACACGAACTCCTGACGACAGGACAGACAGCAGGGGCAGGAGGACTCACCACGTATGTACCAGGCGATGAAGAAGAGTATGGGATCTGTAGGAACAAGAGGGACAGTTCAGCCATGGGCTGCACCCCGTCAGGGCACAGCCTGGCCACGATGGGAGTCCCAGCAGCCTAAGCAAGAGGCTGGGGAACCTCTCCTCTCATTAGCAGGGCTCAGCTAATGGGGAATGATCCCATTTGCAGGACATTTCCCAGCCAGCCCAAGATACTCACTGAGTTAGCACTGCTGGGGTTCGGCCACGGTCTGCCGGCGCCCGGCCCCCTGGGGACAAAATTAAACAGGGGAAAAAATAAACCTTGTGCTTTTCTGCAGACACTCCCGAGCCCGTGGTGAAACCTCCCAGAGTGGGGATTGCCTTACATGTTAATTCCAGGCATGCCAGGACCTAGGGAGTTGGGTGGAGGTCTCATGCCGCTGCCGTAGTTCTGCAACGATAACCAAGGGTCAGTCCACCGTAACGGGCAGGACACCAGAGACAAGAGAAAGGGGGGAAAAAAGCCAATAAACAAACAAAAAAACAAGCGGGTCTGTGTGCAAAAATGAGCTTTTGAAAAAAAATTAATGACGATGAACATAAGAGGCAATTGTGTTTATAAAAAAACCCCAGGCAGCTGAATATGGATGGGAGCCAGGCTGAGCCCCAAAGTTCCCCCTCCCTGCTCTCTGTGGAGGGAAAACATCCCCCTCCCAGCTCTGTGCACAGCCCCCACCGCCAGCAACAGCCTTTTGGATTTTTCCCTTTGTGCAGGAGAAAACAGGGGCAGGAGGAGGAGAAAAGGCACCACTCGGAAGGTTCCTGCTGCAGTGTAAGGATGAGGAAAGGCTGCATGAGCTCCCCATGAGATGGAGCACTGCTTGCTCCCTGGATGACTGATGGAGTAGGGAACACCAAGCCAGGGTTGTTGTTTTTCTGTTGCTCCCCAGCTCTCTGCTCCATCCCCTGGAGCGGGCGAGGGCAGGCAGCCCCCTGGGCCCCCTCTCCTGCCTTATTCCTCCCTGGCTTAGCCTCCAGCTGGGACTGGGAGCCTCAGATCTGCATCCCTCATCTCCTAAAACCAGCTCCAGTACAAAGCCAAGCCCAAGGCAGTGGAGGAAGAGGAATCCCCCGAATGCTGCGCTCCATTTGGTCTGTGCTGTGCTCCGTGTGCCCTCCAGGCGACGTGCAGCCAGATTTAGGTCGCGTTGCCACTCTTCCCCTCCCACCTCCCTTCTCTTCTGTAATGCATCTTTTTGGACTGTGTTTCTGCCATTTAAAGAAAAAACTGCTACAGCAGGAGGAGGGATGGCTGGCCACTTCCTACACCACAGCCCCTTGGAGTGCCTCAAACTTGATTTTAAGTACAATACTTAGTATTGTCATTTTTTACCTGGGTTTACCAGTGCACGGTGCACTGCTGAGGGCATCACCAAAGTTTGTTTTGAAGAGGCAAAAAAGGGTTTTCCCCAAACAAATTACCAGCAAGTCCCTAATTGATAGAAATTTCAGCCATTTACACTGAATAGCAGCATCAAGCCCCTTGTTTAAAAAAAAAAACAACCAAAAAAAACGGGCTCAGCGTTTTTAATTGGGGCTGAAAGGCTGGAAAATGAAGCCAGCTGAAAGATACTCAGGGAGGGTGAGGAGGGAACGCAGCTGTGCTGGGAGACCTGGGCAAGGCACCACCAAAACCCAGAGAGCTACAAACCCTCTTCATATTGGTGCTGGCAAACCCTCTCCTGGCTTGTGCAGAGCTACAAATGGGATTTCTAAAGGGAAAAAGGCAGCGGCAATCAGCTGAAAGGGATGATTCATCACTGCTGTGTAATAAGGAGCTGCTGTCAGGACTCCAGGATGTCCTGGCTGGATGTTCTGAAGCCCTCTGGAATGGTCTGAGAAGGATTTAGGAAGGTCCCAATGCAAAGCTTAAAGGAAAACAAGCCCAGGGCACACAAGGTGCGAGGGGCTGCGGGGTCTGGGTCGGTATTTTTGGTGTCTGCCTGCGAAGACGCCGATTCCTGGATGGCTGCAGGCAGGCAGCGCCTGCGGGTGCCAGATTGGGAAGCCCAGCGCTTCTCCAGGGAAAGGCTGCCTCTCAAAAAACCTCTCCCTAATGTACATACACAGGGAACGGTGGAGTCAAAAATAAAGCTCTGAACATTTCACAACTCCTGCCGGCTCCCGGAGCCGCCGCCATCCCACGCGGCGCTCAGCGCGCGCTCCGCGCTTCCAAGTTTCGCGGCGAGCTCTGCAAGTGGGAAGCAGCCTCCCCCGGGCAAGCCGCCGCCGCTCGCCTTGGCGCAGGCCACGCTTGCAAATGCCTTTGTTTTTTTTTCCCTTTTGGGTGTAATCCTCCAGGAAAGGAGGATTTCAAGCACAGCAGCAGCGCTTTGGGAGGGCTTGCCTGTGAAACGATGCTCGCGCAGGTTTTTTGTCCCCTGCCCGAGGATGGATTCCCATTCAGGTGCCCGTGGACGTGGCTGAGCACCCCCGAGAAGCATCCTCAGGTTGGTGCTAAAGACATGACACAACTCCCTCTTTACACAACATTCACTTATCTCAACAGTCTCCAGGGGAAAAACAAAACAAAACTTCAGCGCGCCCGCTCCTCTCCTGACAGACTCTGATCCTCGCGCTACAAACTCCACGTAGGCGACGATGCAGAGAGGATAAACCTCCAACCAAAATATGGTAATCTGGTTTTGAAGTCTCGTAGAAGGAACAAACAGGAGTGAGTCAACAACAAGCCACTCCATGAAGTGAATCAACGGAACGACAGCATATATTAACCCAGATCTGCTTAATTTCAAGTTTACTCCCCTTTCCTGAAATACGGAGCTCAAGCAGGCAGCAAGAAGGGCAGGTGGAGGGGAACCTCGCAGGGGAAAGCCTTATTCCCTTTGCTAAAGGGATCTTTGCCATTTCTTTTTATTTATTAATTTCAAATGCAAGCCTCCCTCCCTTTTCCTGCAGTTAGGGTTTTAACTGTTTCCCAGGCAGGCAGTGTAATGCACTCAAAGGCTGCTCCAGCTCGGAGCTAAGTGCCATCCCCTCTGACAGAAGGGCAGGAGGGAGGCTCTAATACCCTTAATGAGCTCTGAAGACCTCACTCCTGTTGAAAGGAGGGATTTCCAGATGCAAGGCTAATGTAAAACACATTAACACTAATGGGGGGACAGGGTGTGGGGGGGAACTCCGAGCCCCAGGAGGTTGTTCCCATGGTTTGTGGGATGTGCTCTGGCTCCGGGCTTACCTGCGGACCGGGACCCATGGGGCCCATCCCTCGCGGAGGATTCATCCTTTGCATGGGGCCGCCCATGTTGGGGTGCCCTGGTGGGAGGAAAGCAGGGGTGTTACACGGCACCACAGCCACTCTGGGTCCTGAATTAACAGCTAATTAAGAGCATCGGCGCTTCACCCTGCTCTGCTGGGTTTACCTTGCTGTCGCGTGGGATCCATCGAATTGGGCAGCAATGGCTGTGTACCGGGAACAGCACCCGGGGGCTGTGAAAGCAAGGGAGCAAGGTTAAAAAAATAACTCCGGCATCCCCCTGTACCCTGCTGCATCCCACATTACACTGCTACAACCTCCAGGTCTTTGCCTCCCTCATCCTTCTGCAAACCCTCTCGAAACCCCAAACTAGGTGTTTCCCCCTCCCCTCACCCTCTCGAAACCCCAAACAAGGTGTATTCCCCTCCCCTCATGCCAAATACTGCTGTATTTAGGAAAGCAGGGGAAAACCCGGGCTGAGCAGGACAGAGGTGTCAAATCCAGCAGGGAAAGGTGACCAACAGCATGGCACCCTGCTGACACACAGCACCAGGGCCAAGCCAGGCAGTGATTCACTGGCTGTGGCGCGGAGATGCTCCATGTGCAGCAGAGCAAGGCCTCCTCCCCAAACTCACATTCTACTCAGGCAATGCTGCTATTTAAGCTTCAAAGGCTACTCCAAACAGATAAAGGGGAAGAAAAATGCAGATATTGTCTGCCTGAGGGAAGCAAGCTGTAAACAGCTTTGCTATGCTGGATGCCAACATTGAGGATCCCCGTGCTGGAGCACAGCACAGGCCCTGGGTGCACACGGCTGTGCTGAGGCACAATCAGCCCAATCCCAAGTTTTTTGCAGGCTGGAAGCTGGCAGCAGGAGGAAGATAAACCAGGAGGGTTGCAGAGGTGGATATTTACACTTCTGCTGTCTGACCTTCCTGCCTGCCTATTTATTCCTCTTGTCCCTAAGGATGTGACCATAACCTCGCTGAGCTCTGCCTAGGTACAAACATGTGTTCGTTATGTGGTGTTTGGGGTAAAAAAATTAAATCTTTCTAATTAACTTTACCCACTCCTGGATGCTTGATCCTGCTGTGGGAACAACCTCCTCAAACCAGTCCCCCCTGCCTCTCCTGCCTGCCCAGCTCACTGTGCTCACCAGCAGCAGAGCCTGGGATGAGCCAAGAACCACTGCAGGATGGGGTCCTGTTAAAACTGACCCATGAGGAGGTGCAGTGAATTAATACCTCATTAGATCATCCATCACTGCCCTGGGTGGAAGGTTCTTCCAGCCATGGGGGTCCTCCATTAGTCCCTTCTGGGTTTTTCTCAGCTACACCTCAGCATCAGTTAGCAAATTCTAAAGATTCAAGTCGCAAATCCAGCAAGCACAAACCCAGAGCAAGCTGGCACATCCTACTTCCTGACTATCCTGCTCTTACTGCTAATTAGACCTACAGAAGAATCATGCTGATAGACAAAAAAAACCCAAGCTCCCATGATAATTTTTGAACAGACACCTTTGCTGCTCAGAGGAATTACAGGTTTCCTTCAATTTCCCTTTAGTGACAAATTTGGTCATTACTCTATGGATCTGCATGGCATCATTGGCAAGGAGAGGAATTCCTTAACCAAAGGCCACGCATGCACCCAGGCAGGGCGTGGGGTGGAAGCCTCCGTCCACAAGGCCAGAAACAAACTGCCCTTGTATAAGCTGGGATAAGAGGATAAACCCAACCCAAAAAATTCAGCAGTGACCTGCCCTGCGTGACCCCGCCGCTGATCTAAACACTCGCTCAGCCCAGCAGCAGGATTATCTCCATCACTTTAATTTTCTGCGATTGCAGGGAAAATCCAGCCGGGCAGCGAGCATGCAGCATGGCACAGCCCTGCTGGGGACACCATGGCTGGAAAGCAGCACATTCCCCCTGGATAGGCCCAAACCTCACAATAAAATTAAACCATCACCGTTAAGTGACACCTGATGGTCCGGCACTAGGAAAAAGGAGGGTGACCAAGGAGGTGATGCTTGCCACCCAAACCCAAGGAGCATCTGCAGGACACCTGGCCCTCGTCCCCCTTCCCAAATAACAGCTACCCCTGGGAAATCCAGAATCCTGGGAGTGCAGTACCTGGTTGCCCATCCTGATGGGGGGCCGGGGACCTCCGGCGTAGCGCGGCGACATGAACGGCTGTGGGGACACAAAAGGGGGTCAGGGCTGAGCCCTGGGGAGGCAGCACGCTCCCCACACACGCTGGTTAGCTTGTACAAACTGCTTTTGGTTTTTTATTTTATTTTTTAATTTTATTTTATTTTTTATGGAGACATCCTTTTTAAAAAAGTGGCGTTTCAAAAGGGAAAAAAAAAAAAGAGAAAGGTGTCTGGAGTCCGTTTTTTTTTAGATATTTTTCTCTGTAGGTTTATTGTTTGAGAGCGTGTTTGACATTGGCAATACTAGGTGAGGCTGTTAAAATTAGTGCATGGGAAACCCTGAGTGTTAGATAATGTCCAGGTTTAAATATATAGAGATATATTAAAAAAAAGTGGCAAATAAGCACATACAGACACGCACACACAAAAAAACCCAGTGCTAAATACTGAAAAAAAAAAAAAAAGAAGAAAGGCTTAACGTTACTTCTTTTTACAACTGCTGCTACTAACAGAAGCTTAAAAATCCACATCAAGTTAAATTTCTCAGGCTACCTTGGGAAGGTAAAACAGTCTGATACCCATGATTGACTTCTCAGTCCATTGACAACTGCATATCCAAAAACCACCAAAAAAAAAAAAAAAAAAAAGAGAAAGAAAAAAAAAAAAAAGAAAAAAAAAAGGGAAAAAACCAACATTTTGCTTTGGAGCTGGGGTGCCTGGGGGGATGCTCCCCGGGGAGCGGGTACCCAGCATGCTTACAGAGGGAGAAAAAAGGAGTAAATCGAGCGCACGTCCCGGTTCACAGCCCTACCCATCACTAGTGTCTTTACCTGACTGTGGGGTCCCATCATGCTGTTAGGATTGTGGGGTGGAGGCTGTGCGTGTGGCGAGGGCTGTGACCCAGGCGGTCCCTGTGAGGTCAGACAGTAGAAGGAGGTTATAGATTAGCACATGAAAGCGCAGAAAGAGCTAAAAAAAGGATTCACGGGTGGACCTGTTCAGTCAGGGAGTCAGTTCTCCCGGTTTTAAGTAAATTTTTTATCCTATTTTTTTTTTAATTGAGTTTCTCTTCATTTGCAGCTGAACAATGAGTAATGATATATGCGAAAAAAAATATATATTCAAATCAGAACATCTGTCAAAATACAGTGGCCACATTGAGAGTAAACGGTCCAGTGGTTCAACCAAGTCTGCAATGATAAACACACAGGGAAACACTTTTCAGGGGCGTGCAATGAGGGAAAAAAATATGCAGGAGAGGACCAGAGAGGATGGGGGGAAATAGAAAAACTACCCCCAAACAAACAAACAAACAAACAAAAAAGAAAAAAACCTAAAAAAAAAATTTAAAAATAAAAATGATTTTTTTCCTCTCACATCCCAAAGGTTGGAAACACCTCCGGGTTTGTGTTTTGACCGTGGTTCACTGGAGGTGCTGGAGTGAGCAGAGAGGATGAGGAGCACATCCCAGCTCACACCTGGGCAGCGTTTGGGTGGCACAGCCGGGGCTGCACTGCCACGCTGAAGGGATGCAACATCCTTCCTCGAGGTGCATTCCCTAAGGATGCCAGTGAAATGGCTTACGAGCAAAGAAAGGATGTCTGGGGGAAAAAAGGAGAGATTAGTTGGTGCAGGTTTAAGACTGCAATGCAGCAGTCGCTGACATTTTGGGCTTGAACGCCCACTTTAAATTTTTTTTTTTTTTTAATTTCCCTTAAAAGCACAAAATCAAAATTTGCTTGGAAAAACCGCGAGCTTGGTGCAAGAAATATACCGGTGCGTGTTAACGTGAGGAAAAAGGGAAAAAAAAAGGAAAAAAAAAAGAAAAAAAAAAAGTATTTTTTGAGTCCAAGGAGGTGTAATTGGTAGAGAAAGCAGAGGAGCTCTGTCAGTAGGTGATGGGAAGCGACGGCAGCTCCAGGACCGGCGCCGGAGCAGATGTTCTCTACCTGCCTCGTTACTAATTTCAACAAGTGTTCGCCTTCTAGCTGCTGCCAGCAATGGCATGGTTTGTTACCATGAGCAATTTTCTTAATTAACAGACATTAATTAGCCATTTAGCAATTTTGCAAGCATTTGTTTAGCAGCTTTCCTAAACATGAATACCACTGTGATAATGGTACTGATTAGAGGGTCCCCTAATTAACAGTACAGGGAAGGAAAATTGAAATCACATAAATTAAAAAGGGAGGGGAAGTTAATGAAGGCAGGACATATTTGCACCTGCAAATCTTTTGTACAGCGGAAACTTGAGTGCAATGTAAATAAAGTAAGAGGGTGGGTTTTTTTCTTCTTCTTTTTTTTTTTTTAATTTTTTTTTTATTTGAATGGTTCAGTGGTGAGATGGAGCCAAGCAGATTTAAACCAACAGCCTCCTGCCAGCTTCTCTGCTCCAGCCGCTGCAATCCCACCACTTACACCACCATTTATCTTCCAGGTGCCAAAAGGAACCAGCCCCTGCCCTTAGTTCCTGGCCAGCCTCATCTGGACGAGGTCACAGCACCTCAAGACAACCCTCCCCACTGCCTTCTCCATCCATGTCCCACCAGAGAGGAGAAGACAAACCTCTGAGGTCCAACTGCAGCATCAACCTCCTTTAGCAGAAGTCCTCTCCAGGCATGGAAGTTGACTTATTTTTGCTTCTGAGCTGCTAACTCTGTCTGTGAATGCAAAGTGCAGCAGGGGCAGCAGACACCTCCCACCATCCCCCAGTAAGGTCTGGCCACCCCCAAAGCCCTTCCTACACATCTCAGCTGCAGGATTTGGGGTAGGGGAGATCAGAAGAGGTGAATGAGTGATGAAACCAAGTGGAAGGCAAAAATCAGGGCTGGCAGAGGCCAAACCTCAAGCCCCATCAATTCAAGAGCCAGTGTCCTCCACAATGCCTGCCCTGTACTGCAGGAGGGGGTCATTGCTGGCCAGGTACTGATGTCCTTCCCCCTGTATCCCACAGCAGGTGAGGGTGTGGGGTGAACAGGTACCAAACACACGGGGGACACAGCCACCTGAAGGCACCCTGCCTGGGCCTGAAGGTGATGCTTGGGGTCTGCATTTCGAGCTGGAGAGCAAACACTGTTTGACTATTGGAGAAAAAGCATCTGTGGGACACGGCAGCATTTCCACCAGAGAAAAATCCCCTGTGGCAGCTGGACTCAGAGAACATTCATTGTTTGTGCTGCTGAGTGCATTCTCTGGAGTGAGCTCCTGCCCCAACACCAAGGCTGCTCCCGGGATGCTCCAGGCTCGGCGCCGCAGCATCCCAGCCCCTGCATTATCCCATGTGGTACCGCTTCCAGAGGACACTTCTGGATAAGGTGACGCCCAGCTTGTGCAAACATTTTGGCAGGCAGGGAGGAGCTGAAAGCTGCTTTTTTATTTCTCCTTCTTTTCTTGCTTTTTCTGTGTGGCAGCATCCAAAATGTTCGCTCCAAGCTGCGGCCGCCGCGGCCCCCTCAGCAGGGCTGCCCTGCTCTGCCAGAAAGGCAGTCAGTCCCTCTGCACGCTGTTATCTTCATAAATACTTGCAGATGTTTCAGGGCAGGGACCCGTGCAGGGCTGGGAACGCCTGCTGGAGTGGCTGGGTTTTTGCACGGGATTGCCTCGCTGCACAGGGAGCAGCAGATGATCCCCACGGATCACGGCGCTTGGGACAAGTGTTTTGCAGAGACAACATGTGGGCTCCAACCAACAGAACATCCCTTTTTTCTTAAAAAAAACGTGTGTTTAGCAGTTATTAACTACTCCTGTTGAAGGAGGAGGCTGAACACATGCTGTCCTGCTTCCTCCACATCCCTCCATCCATCCCTGCTGCACAGCTCCTTCTGACACACCATGCTGGGGGAGCAGGACCTGTTCTGCAGCTGCTTCACTCTCATCTCCAGACCAGCACTGGAAATCCCATCATCTCTCAAGTTTTTCCTTTTCCCCCCAAAACTGGACACTCTTTGTGTGGGGTTATTCTTCATCTTCCTGTAGCTGCCTCAAAAAACCCCAAAAAAGAACCTCAACAGCTAAAATGGTGTTAGAGGAAACTGTTTCCAACAGCTGCCACTGCCCCAACCTCCTCTCTGCTTCATTTCTTTCTCCCCTCTCCACTCCAGGGACTTTAAAAGCCCAACCTGGCCCGCCGGACAGCCGAAGTTTGCTGCCACAGCTGCTTCCTACAGGGAGTTTCCAAGAGATCAGGTTATTTCCACTCTGTCTTTCATGAGCTCGACTCCTCAAACTTCTTGTAAAATATTAAAGATGGAAAATGGCACGAGCGATCATAGCTCTGTGTGTGTCAATTTATGTTTCCAGCGTAATTCACCACAAATGGATCATGTTTTATGGGCTACATACTTTCAGCTAATGGGGGAGTTTTGCTATTTAAAAACATTTTCAAGCACCTCTGGGGGTGGCAGAACAAGGCAGGATGGTACGAGAAGGCAAAGCATCACTGCCACGAGACACCGATGGTTTCGAGTTAGCAATAGGGAGGCATCTTGTGTTTAAAATACCTGCCCCTGCCTGCCAGTTTTGACGTTAGAAAACACTAAAATAAATTAGATGGGTATTAATTAAAGCCATGCCTGGGTTTATTGGAGAGGAGATTTATTTCTACTGAAGGAGAGAGATGTTTTGCAAGTTGACGAGGAAAAAAAAGAGAGCTATCTCTGAAGGAGGCTTTAGGAGAGATGCTCCAGTTGCCCTCAAAGAGACAGACCCCGGTTGACTTCCAGCATGTGCTGCTGGGTGAGGACCTTCCCGAGACAAGTGAGGCCAGGAGAGGTTAGACAAGGCAAGGCAAGGCAAAGCAAGGCAAGGCAAAGCACGGCGAGGTTAGGCAAGGCAAGGCAAGGCAGCAAGGCAAGGCGAGGCGAGGCGGGCCAAGCTCCCCCCGCAGACACAGAAAGGCAGCCGTGGGCAGGAGCTCTGCCTCGCCTGCAGCTGGGGCTCCCAACTGCACAAGCCTGGTTTTAAGGAATATGTTTAACACAAGCTCTTCAGGAAACAAACCCATGTCAGCCAGAGCCAAGAACAGTCACCTCCATCTGGCTGGAGCACCCGAGAGAAAGTTGACTGCAAATCCCACCATATGCTCCAGACGCTCGGTACAAAAGCCTCGGGCATCCTACTAAACTTCCAGAAAAAAACTTTCTCTGATGCTTGCTTTTCCTTTCCTCCAGTTTGTAGGCTACCTTCCCTCAAACCCTGCCTGGTGCAGGCTGGTACCAAGTTCTATCCCGGGATTTTGGGAAGAGCAGCCTGGTTTTATGGAAGTGGCTGGCAGGAGCTGGCAGCACCCGATGAGCACTGGGAAATCCCACTGAGACATCAGGACAGCAGGGGGAAAATGGTGGCATCCAAGGAGGGAGCAGGACAACATGGACCCTTCCTATTGTCCCTGGCTTTACCATCCTCACCCCACAGGTGACCTCACCCAAAGGGGGGAAGTCTCCAGGACGTGGGGAGGAGAGCTGGGGAGGGCAGGGGATGTGTGGGGGGAGCCCCCCGGGCTCTGGAGCCCCCGTGCTCCCCAGCTCCCGAGGTCTGTCTGCATTAGGGGGCAGTGTGGGAACACGGAGCAGCCGGTGCTTTGTTTTGGTGCATCTCGGCGCCGAGCCGCTGATGCATAGCTAACGCAGCGCCGACATTGATTTATGGTCAACTTTCCATTTCATCAGCGCGGGGTACAGGCACTCTGCCTGGGGACAGCAGCCATGCCTGGGGGGGCTGCTGACTCGGCCCCCCCCCGGTTGTTTAGTGGTGTAAAGGTGTGGCATTAATTGCTTTCAATTTTTTGTTTTCCTTCCCGTACTTCCCTGGCATCCCCCCATCCCTCTTGCGAGGGATCTGCACCCCGGCATCAATCCAGCTTTCAAAACAAAAGCAGGAACGCCTCTGATGACCTTTAGGAGGATGAGCAGAGGGTTTGTTTGCTCATCTCAACGGGACAAAGAGAGAGATTTAAATAAAAGCATCTACCCATGCTGGCCGTCAACCCAGCCAACCTTTTGTCCAGAGCGCAGCTGATGCTGTGCTGTTGGCTGGCACCATGAAATGCTCCAGCAACCCAGGAGTGCCATGGGCCTCTCCTCTCCCATCATTCTGGGAGATTCTGCAGGCTGCACTTCCCTTGGCCCCTGACCTGAAGGGCACTGCTGAGCCCCGGCACTGGGAAGGGAATCTCACTGCGAGGTAGTGGTTATGGATGGGGCTGCAGCCTGGAGATCTCCTTGATTCTCCCTTTCCTGGAGCACTCCTTCTCCTCCAAGCTCACTCACATGTGTTTGGGAAGCAGAGTCGCAGGAATGGTCCATATCAATGTTTTCCCTTTGCCTGTGGTGGACATCTTCACATGCAGGGCTGGGGGGGGTTCATGCATTGCAAAGTTTCTGCTACCTGAGCTTTGCTGGTGACTCATTCCTCAGCTCCCTGTGTGACTCCCCACCATGCCTGGACATGATCAGGCTCTCTAAATCCTCTCAAAAACTATCTGCCCACGCCATGCCTGCTACCCTTGGGGATATCCCTTGCAGGTCCCTGGTGCACAAGAGCAAGATGCTGAAAACCCCTGAGCCCTCTCCTGGCATGAGGATGGCACTGGCTGAGGTGGCACCACCTCCCTCACTCCCAGGGCTGGCATACAAAGGGTTGGGGAGAAGTCCTTTCTATCTTCTGTGACCTTTTTGTTTTGCCCTCTGAATTGAGGCACTTTAATCTCCTACAGATAGGAAATTACCCCCAAACTATGACTGGCTCAATGCTGAGCCTCCAGCCCATCTCTGCAAGAGCTGCTCTCCAGCATCTCTGAAGCTGGAATGAGCCCCAGCACCCGCAATAAATCAGACAGCCTTTCATGGAGGCGATGTTCAGACTGTGTTAAAAGGTGGGATTTTTCTTCTGCTTTCCATCCCGAGGGCTGGGAGGAGAAACCAGATGTTGGAGGGCTTTCAGGAAAGGCAGGCTCTTGAGATGTCACATGTGAGCCATATGCACCAGCACCCTTCCTCTCTTCCCTCTAGCAGTGCTGGGGATGGGCAGCATAACCTGTCTTGGTGTTATTACATTGTCTGGGGTTTCAGGATCCACTTCTGCTTCTGAGCCATCCCCAACCCAAGTGGCTCCTGTGCCAGCTGCACGGGAGGCAGGGAGCTAAGATGGGCTGTTTGCTCCTGAATCAGACCCTCAGTGCAAAAGTGCTACAGGAGGGCAGAAAGGAAAAAAGGGGGGACAGCTTGGAGGCTGTCAACAGGAAGAGTCGAGACGGCAGCACGAACAGTAAAAGTCTGGAGAGATGTGACTCCTCTCCCTCACCATTCCCACTCTGGGAAAGCCAACCCATCCTCTCGACGCCTTGCCCTACATTCCTGCCAGCTTTGCAGCCCTCGCAGCTCGGCGTGAAGCAGAAGCCCCAGAGGACAGTCAGCTTCACCGCGGGGCGAGATCAGGACGTTTTGGAGAGACATTTGTTGGAAGCAGCAGCTTGGCACCGGGATTGCTGGCAGCAGCTCTGACCTGCGAGATCGCATCTCCGCCGTTGGCTTCACCCCCGGCCCCGAGCGCTGCTGCAAGGCTCGCCTGTTTTAGGGTTCCCCACCAGTATCAGATATTCTTACTTTGTCAGAAGCATGTTCAGGAAATGGGATCTCTCTCTTTCTCTCTCTCTCAAAAAAAAAAAAAAAAGACAGGACCCTCCTTCCTCCTTCCCCCTTCCCACACAAATGTAATCGCCGATATCGGGCTCAGATATCGCCACAATAAATCACAAGCTCCTTATCGAGCTCGCCTGTCTACTGCCCGAGAAGTTCTCCCATATACAAATCACAAGCCCAGATTAAAAAAAGCCCAGCTTGCCAAAACAAATATTCCTTTCAACTCTTATCCCATTTTTTACACGAACAAGTGTTTCATCCTCAAGCAGGAGGGTTTTAAAGCACCGAAAGCTTATGTTGCTGCAAACCAGTGCAGCTCACGCCGGGCAAAGAGATTCCTTGAGGAAAAACCCTCAAGGTTCAAGGTTTGAAAACTCCTTTTCTTTGTGCTTGTTGATATCCTGTCTGTCAGCACCACTCCAAACATGTTACCCCCTCCTCTGCCAGAGCTTGTTGTGGGATAAGGAAGGAGCGAGGGGACTTTGCTGGGTATTTGCTTACAAGGTGCCTCCACGGCATTCAGGGATTTGGCTGGAGCCCACTCCCGCCTGCAGCCGCAGCCAGGGTTTGTTAATGCATTCAGTGATTGCATTTGGAAAAAATCAAGTGGTTAACCAGAGGAGGGGGAAAAAGTTTCAGGAATCAAAATCCAGAATGTTTTCAATTACACACGTCTGTTAGGACTGGAGAACAAATACAATCCCAACCCAAACACAAACCAAGCAGCTTTGGAAAAAAAACATTGGTTGTAAATACACAGTAACCTCTTCGAGCAAGAAAGGAATTTACTTTAAGGCCACAAAAGATAGAAAGCAAACGTGGAAGCACAGCAGAACACAAGTTATTCCTAGACAGGTCAGCTGTGCAGGCATGCTGCTTCCCTAGCATCCTCTTGGGGAAAAAAAAAACCAACAAAACACAGGCAGGACAGCGCTGACACCCAGAGCAAAAGCAAACACGTGCGTGGTTGGAGGGGAGGGAGCAGCGGGAGGAGGCACAGCCTACCTGGAAGAACCCGGGCGGGATGGGGCCCCCGGGCATCCCGTCATTCGGGGGAATGTTTCCAAGCACGGGACTCGGGGCAGCAGCTGCGCTCTGCGGGGAACAAAACCAGGGCAAACATGGTCAGAGTTATGACAAAAGCACGTTAGAAATGCCACCTCTCCTGCCACATCCCACTGAGTCCATCTGCCTGGTGTCCCCGGAGCCCTGAGCAGGATGCTGGCAGCTGGAGGGACACCGGCCTCTGTGACTCACCCACCGAGGAGATGGCCACACAGAGCCTGGAGATGATTCTGGGGTTTGTTTATTCATTTACCCAGGCACCGAGTCTTGCTTATCTACCAAGTGTAATTTTAGGCAGAAGCTGATTGAAAGCTTTAAAATGCTTCTCCTCCCACCTCCCCACCATGCTCGCTAGTTTAGCCCCGTCCTTTGAAAATTACGCTTCCCTGACCTCACCAGCATGCCAAGGCTTTATTAATAATTTCCAAATTCATTGCATTCAACCTGTGGAGTCACATTCTCCCTCGTGCCTCCCTAGAATGAGCCACCAGCCTCAAAAAGGAGGGACAGGGACAGACATGGGGTACCTGGACAACCCACTCACTCCTCTCAGCATCCCTATTTGCATTTATTCACTTCTGGGAAAGCACCAGCATAATGGGAAGCTCCTACTCTGAAGGAAAATATAAGAAAAAGATCTTTCTCTAAAAGTCACTGCTGGTGACACATCCCTGTGAGATCAGGAGCAGTACCTGTGCCATCCAAGTGCATCCCATTTTGCCCAACACCAAGTGACCCCATTCCAGTTACAGGGCAGTTACAAAGGCACCCCAGTGGTGTTAACTGGATTTAGACCACTGAACTACTCCCTCCACCAATTTTTATGAGGGATGTACCCACCTAAAACCATAGTGGAAAAACTTTCCACTGAGGAAATCCAATGAGGAGATGGGGTACATGTGAGCCTGCTCAGGCTTGGTTTCACCCAACAAACCCCATGTCCCAACAGCAGCAGAGCCAGCCCTGGCTCCGATGCAGCAACAACCACAAGATGTGAGCACAGGGGAAGCCAGGCTGTCAGGGCAGCCTGCAAAATTAAGGATTATCACTAAGGACTAAGGATTGCCAAGATGGGATCCCCATGTTTGGTCGGCAATCCTGCTATTCCTGACCAGAAAGCTTTGCAGAGGCAGGGGAGCACCAGACTAATCACTGCCTGGTGCCTTCCCAGGGCATCCTTCGTGCCCCTCACCATCCTCTCCAGCAGGAGTTGGCGTGCAGGATGTGGGATGAAGGCCAGGACCACGGAAGATGAGGGGTTGGTTTTCCTACCCCAGCATCTCAGAGCTGCAAGTGTCACAGACAACAGTGGAGGCTGATTCCCCAGTAAGAGCCTCCCTTAATGAAATAACCAATTCCCCCTGAGGCTACAGGGTCCTGCACCCCCAGGAACACCCCACGCCACGCTCCCTCCCCTGCCCCTGAACAAGGCATCCTGAACAGCCTTCCCCCCACCAGCAGCAAAGGCCAGATCTGAGTGTTTTTACAGTTAATAAAAAAAAAAAAAAAAGTCCTGGCAGGAAAAATAAGCCTGCCCATTCCAGGCTCTTTTTATACATCAGACGGCAGCAAAAATAGATGGGAGAGGGAGTGAACCCACTTCTCCCCCTCCCTCCATCCCCCCAAGTGGGTCAGCTATAAAAGTAAAACCAAATCTTAATCCAAGGCCATGAACATATTGCAGTTTCTCTGCAAAGCAGATGACGGTTCTTAATGCAAAAATATATAAGACTGAGCCCCAAACTGCAGCGAGCCCATTTGGAATTTCCTTTATTAAACCCTCTATCACGCAAAACGCTTCTCTCCCAAGGCGGCAAGCGCTGCAATAAAGCTGCCAAGGTGATATTTTATGGTTTCAAGAGATTTCCAGCACACTATAATCCTTTGCTTGGGGAATCTCCCAAAGCGAAATGGATCCCAAAGTGGTGGGAAGTGAGGAGGAACATGGATTTGGGGATCTGGGGGGAAAAGGACGCTGCTCCTCTCCTCCCTCTGCAACAGGGAGCAGAGGGAGAAGGGCAGAGGAGCCAAAGAAAACCTTGAAGCAAATGCCCATTTTTCCACAAAACCACAGAGTATTTTTCCGCGTTAAACACCCTGAAACCTCACCTATGCCTTCGCGGCGTAAACGGGGATTTAAAGTTCCTCGCACATGTGGCGCTTGGCAGAACTTGGTAATTAAAAACCCGCAAGTACCCTGAGCATATTGTAGGATGAGAGCCAAATTGGTCAGCCCTTGATGAATGATTTACAAGGCTGCGAAGTGACATTTTATTTCTTTTTTTATTCCCCTCCCCATCACCGCTGCTAAGGTAAACACAGAGGCACCTTTAGCCCTGGTGAAGCAATGGGAGCGCAGCTGTGGCTGGAGCAGCTCTGTAAAACACTTGGGCATGCCAGAAATGAAAGAAAAAAAGGCAAAAAAAGACAGCAGGAACAACTTTTCCAAACCTTAAGGGTGAGCACCCAAACCCTAAGGGTCAGTGCACAAACCCAAGGGCTTTCCAGCACCCATTTCCAGGGCTTTTTTGGCCACACAGCTCCTCCCACATGGTTTATTTTCAACATTTTGTTCCAGAATCTCTTTTTAGGGACTCTTGGTTGCAGTTTGTTTTCCAAAGCTCTTTCCTTAGGTGAACATCTAAAACCCACCGAACCTCCCTGGTGAAGGTACAGACAATGCACAGTTGCCATGGAAGCTGGCAGAAAATGGGCATGGAACTGCTGTGCCACCACATCCAAGCTGGAACTGAACTAGATGCACATCAGCCACACAAAGGTCACCATTGGCACGTGACACCCTGAACTTCCTTCCACTGAAACACACGGAAACCACTGCCAGAAATGAGCCGGGACTTCTCTGGCAATGCTGGCACGCCAGCTTATTTGCCTTTTGTAAGATGGCAAATTTTCCCCATGTTGGAAATCAATATATATATGCATTCCTGGGGCGCACATGCATAGCTATATACACAAACACACATATGTATTTTTAATTCCCTGCCACACACGTCGGTATTTTTCCCTCTTTTTTTGGTGGAAGCCAGTGGAATGATGACAATCTGGATCACCGTGTTTCGCTTCCAAAGCGAAGCTCTCAGTTAACACACCGGCCTGGTACGCCAGCAGATGCCGTCTAAGCCTTTAAATCGCACACTAATTGCACTAATTGAGCTAACAGTCTCTGTTTCGTCTCCCTACCCTGAGTCAACCAGCATCTTCTGGTACTGCTGTAGAGATCCAAGCTGTTGACTGTAGTGTTATTTTGTCAGCCATTAAACGATTCATCAGAGTCATTAATTGATTTATTACCGCTGCCTGCGAGTATAGCTTTGCAAATAAAGAAGGATGGAGGTCAGGAGGCAATGGAAATCGGACAAAACAGCACAGCCAGGAGCTGGGCACTTGAATTATCGATAGGAGCCCACTTGCGCAGGACCACTGGCATCAGGTTATGGAAAACAGGGAAAAAAGAGAAGATGTGCTGTCTGGCTGTGCTACAAAGCTGGTTAGGGTCTTCAGCTACAATCTACGCAGGATGTAAAACGGCTATTAAAACCATCTTGTTTTCTTAACCTAATCCTCCAGGAGAAACCAGGTTATTCAGCTGTATTAACTGAGCTGAAGAGCAGCAGGCAAGAAGCAGCGGCGTGGCTGCCCCACAGCCGCTGGCACATCCCCACCACACTGATGTCACCCCAATCTGCTTTCCCAGGCCGGGAGCACGGCTCACCTCCGCTGTCCCCCAGCCCTGGGAGGAGCTGCGGTCCAGTGCTTTTATTTATTTACTTTCTTTACAGCAGGGCTGAGGTCTGTGCTGGGCGGGAGGGTTTGCAGCGCGCAGGGTGCGGCGAGCCGTTTCCTGCCCCCCGCCCTGCGCACTAGGCCTCAGCGCGGCCGGGAGGCACCAACGAGGGCCCAGCGGGCTTTGGGGGCTCAGTTATGAAACCAGAGCAGGTGGGGTGAAATCACCCTCACTGCCAGAACGTGTTTGCCCCCAGCTCCTAGGTAACTGGGTAATAATAGGCAGCACCCTATGAGAGGGGGTCTGGGAAGCCAAGGAGCTTTCTGGATGTGTTGTCCAAGGGATTCTCCCTCCTCATCTCCCCCAATTTATGAACCTTGAAGAGCAGCCTGAAGGTGGGCTAAGGCACTGCACCCCTTCCTGCAAGGCTCTCAGTGTCACCATTATGACAGCCAAGCCCCAGCTCACCACCACCCAAACCTGCCATGCTTCACCAACACCAGCAGTGGTTCCTATGAACCATCTATGAAAAACAGGTTCCAACTGGTGATAGTAACTCTGCCATTGAATGCAAACTGGTGTCCCCAACACACACTCCAGGCGAGCAGCTTGCCCCAGCATCCCATGCTGGCTTTCATCAAACACTTACTTTTAATAAAAATAACATGCCCAGAGTGGTGCAAGGGAGAAGAAAGGATGCTCCACTTGTGAGAAGCACCACCAACACTGGCTGCTTGTCCAGACACTGCCCACATCAACCCAGCAGTGAGATGGGGAAAGCAAAAGTATCTTCATGGCACAGACCTAAAACCAAACTAAGGATGGCTGGGTATTTCCTTTTTGAGCTCTAGCTGTTTTTGCCCTCTCTCCTCCCCAGAAGAGTGGACCAGAGGATTTTGGTTGCATCTCACACCTTGCAGCCACTGTGGGAGCAGCACAAGGCTTGAGGGCAGCTGCCTCTGGTAGGAGCACGCGGGGGTGCTCAGGCCATGTTGGTGATCTGGTATCTATCTGTCTCCTTTGATTTTATTTTTTTGCCTAGAGCACAGGCTTTGGAGCCTAAAGAAGAAACCAGCGTGCGGGTCAGGACTTAAGCAGGCTGCGTAAACAGGTAATACGGAATTTAATTGGACTCCAGTTAAGCCTTTTCATCTCGTTAAAGCTGCCTTCATCTTATATAGCCAGGTTTTAAATTTAATAATAGAACCCTCCCACACCTCAGAGTAACCCGATTAACGCCAGGGAGGACGACACGCCGCCCGCTTCCCCTGGACCCAACCCTCAG